ATAATCGTGGCTATTGTATCGTCCGAAATTATTTTTTTATTTTGCACAAACAATATACAGTTTAACCCGATTATAATGTCATCGAATGTAACGACAATCCTAATATAACGTCAAATTTTTATCGGTCCTACGATTTTACTATACTAGATAATGTTTAAAAAAGCCCCACTTGTAACGACATAAAACCGTTTTAACGTCATATTTGAAGCACTCCCAAATTTACAAAATTAAATTACAAATTTTATTTAACCTAGAAGAAACTACGTGTTTGGTCCTAAGGTCAGAGTTCACTTCTTAGAAAGACTGCGGGTGGTACTCTCCCCTACCTGACTTCGGTGGGGTGAGGTGGCTGTTTTGCCTGTTTGTAGAAGAGGGTCGCCATTTTGTATTTTATTTTGACTCGATTCTCGGTCCCCCGACTACCTACGAGTCTGGCTTTTTTATGCGCAAATGATCTGGGCACCTAATACTCTGTGCCAAATATCAACTCTCGGCATGTACTCCTTCATACCTCTATGCTGGTAAGAACGGGTGGCAGTACGATTTTATAAACAAGACATAGTCTTGTCAACAAAGCCATATATGAATTCCGATACACAACATTCCGTAGAAAAAAAAACAACTAATATAGAAAATTTAAATTACATTTTTCAATGATATTTTAAATTTCATATTAATATAATTACTAAATTTATACTAATCAAGGATGAACGAAAGCAAATAATAAAATTATATAAAATATTACATTAAAATACGAAGAATCTTTTGTTGCCAGATGGCGCGATTGTTTAAAGTTCACGCATTTCGGTAGGGATTGCAGGACAGATTTGCACCATTAATAATAAAGTTTTGCATTTATTAGAATAGAACCTGTAAATATAAGTAAACGATATATTTGTATATATCGTTTTGTAATTTTGGTAGTGGTAAGTACTAAAGAATATCTTGAACGGAAAATCTAGATGAAAGGAAACTTTTATTGAAGAAAGCAGTTTTATGTCACGTGAAAGACATTCATTGAATATTAAAAATTAGTTTAATTATAATTTGGATAAAAGCCGAATTGTGAAAGTATTTTCAATTTTTAATTTCAGGTGAGAAAATGTCGAGGATTACGGACGAAGGGATTGGTATAGTGCTGTCGTCGATGCCGCCAATTGTAGAAAATATTCTAAAAAACTTCTGTATTAAGGATTTAAAACGATGTGGAAATGTATGCAAGTTATGGCATAATGTTTCTAAAGTGATTGCAAAACAGAGACATGATATATTTAGGATCTTTAAGGTAATTCAAAATAAGTTTAATGTAACATAAAATTTTATTATTTCATAAGTAACAAATACGGTGGTACCTCAGGATACGAATGCCCCAGCATACGAAATTTTCAGGATTCGACATGAAATTCGAATATTTTTGCTCCATGATACGAACAAAAACTCACCATACAACGTTACATTAGTTCACAGTGCCATTTTTTTATTCACTTCTGTTCATTGGTCTCAGTCCGCATGTTTGCTTCGTCGTGGAAGGATCTCGCTCGATAAAGGAAATCTTGAGGTATTAACAGAAAGTGACTGATTTTATTGAAAAGAAACATCCCAAAAAGGTTCACAGTGGCCGTGTTGCTGCTTTTTACCGGAGTAATGACATTTGCCAAAGTCATTTTAGAAACATTTTAAAAAGTAGGCAAAGCAAAACTTCTTAGGAAAGGTATTTTACCAAGCAACCTCTATCCAGTCAAAGTGCTGGTGGAAGTGAAGGAAAGAAAGCAAAAAGTAGTGAATAAAAATTAAAAAACACAATATATACATAAAACAACAATAATTTTTTAAATCTTTTCTAAGTTATTGTTACATTATGTTATGAAAGTTAAGTTTTAGTATCATTTTCCTTCTCCCTTTGTTCCACCATCAGTTTATACCTTCACCGTCGTCTATCCTCAAAGGTAAAGTGCAAATAAAACTACATTTTTTTTTATCAATTATTATTCTATTATGATTATTTATTCATTTACAACTACAAAATGCATTTTTCAGTGTTTTCCTTACTAAAGTTATTATTATTATTACTTTTTTTCAATGTACTACTTAGCTTTCATTTGAGTGTGTTTTTCGTGTGGAACGAATTATTTGGTTTTACATGTAATCATATGGGAAAAAATGATCCACCTTACGACATTTTCATGATACAATCTCAGTTTCGGAACGGATTAATTTCGTATCCTGAGGTACCACTGTATTTGGTTTCAATATGTATTTGTATACAAATGTGTAATGATAAGGTATAGGCTGATTAATTAAATTTCAAATTTATGCAAATGATAATTTGGTCTCTTGATAAAAATAAAATTATAATTGTTGATAAACTGTGTTTTTTAATTAAAAATACATGGTGTAAATTCTGAGTGGGATAATGTAATTTAAAATAACCAAAATTTTACTTTGGTTTTCGTGATGTGCTCTCACTAAAATGTGGTAGGATACCATATTGTGCTCTTGTTAAAATGTCAATAAAATAATGTATAATTTATCATACACTCTGTACTCAAATTTGAAAAAACCCCATATAAATACATTCTGTTAGAATTAAACTGGCTATATTGCCTCTACTTGCCTAGATTATTGGTCACTCTGATGATTATTATACTAGCAGATCTATTTGGGCAAATTTATATGGTCAATACAATTGAGATTACAAATACATTTTGCTGGTAAGCGATGATACTGCCACATTAAAATAATCAGAACAAATTGTTTTGTTAAGAACAACAATATTTTGATATGAAGTTTACAATTCTTAGCTTTATATTCATACTGTATGATTTATATATCAGCTCTTTCATATATGTATCAAATACATTACATACATTAATAATTTATACAATTGTTTATTAATGTATTGATTTTATTAATTTATTTTGTATCTTTCATTAATTAACTTTCACCTCACTTTTTATTGATGAGATTTCAACCAAATTTAAGTAGAACAAAGACTACAAAAAATTTATATTCTTTGTTTTATCTAAATATTAGAATATCAATGTGAAAATAGTCAATTTACCATAGTTTAAATATTTTTTTAAATTAAGAAAAAAATGCTTAGACAAATTATGAAAATATTCATATTTTTCAATGTTAAAAAGAAAACAACATGGAGTGTTATCAAGTTATGTTTAAAGTGATAAATGACTAGCAAGTAAATGTAACTATATAAAAATGAATGCTTGAGTTCATTTATACAGAAACAAATTATGAATTGCTTAATAAAAGAAAACGAAAGAGGAAGAAGAAAATTATTGTAAAACCTAGAGCTAGATAATTTTCAGATTTTTAAATTTAAACTGTTTGATAGTTTGAATATTTCTTTGCCACTATTAGATTGAGTATCTGATAAAATCTTTGTCCTCAATAAAAAAGATGTGTTTACTGCAAAATAAAACACATTTTTCTTAAACAGAAGTTTCAAAAAGTATTTAAATAACGATAAATTTATAAAAATACAGTATATTGAAGATACAAAATGTCTTTATAATTCCATTGTTTACAATTGCCAGCAAAAGTCCAAAAACAATTTTCACTTACAGAGATGACTTGAGACTATGTCTCTGTAAAAAATGTAAAATGGTTAAAATATATTTTTATGCAAATACATCAGCCGTTTTTTAATTTTAATCAACAATATATTTAATTTCAAAAGTTAAAAGGTAGTGGCTTTCTTTCTTCAGTAACACATCACACAAGGAACAGTTGATTTATGTTTAATAAAAAATACATAAATCAACTGTTCCTTGTGTGATGTGTTACTGAAGAAAGAAAGCCACTAGCTTTTAATTCTTTAAAGTCTATAAANTCTTTCTTCAGTAACACATCACACAAGGAACAGTTGATTTATGTTTAATAAAAAATACATAAATCAACTGTTCCTTGTGTGATGTGTTACTGAAGAAAGAAAGCCACTAGCTTTTAATTCTTTAAAGTTTACAAAAAACCAGTAATGGAAACCTAATTAAATATTTAATTTCATTCATAAATTCATATTTTGAAAATTCAATTAAAAATATTTTAGTATTTAATACTTATAACACTATGAGGTTTGAACTATATCAGTATATTCTCAAATCATCATAAATCATGAATCTATACTAATATTATAAAGAGGTAATGTTTGTAAGTATGTATGTATGTAAATTTGTTTGCAGCAGGTAATCTCTGAAACTACTCATCCGATTTCAAAAATTCTTTCACCAATATTCAGAATGGAACCTCAGGGTGGACATAGGCTGTGTATTATTCCGTTAAACATTCATATAAATTAAAATATATAATCTAGGTTAAGGCTTTTATGTCCAACAGATGGCACTACGAGTACGACACCCTAAGTTTGCTTTTCTGTGAAAATGAACTAAAGCAGATCATCTTCTATCTATCTATATAAATAAAAATGTAATGTTCGTTTGTTCCTACCGATTCCTTTGAAATTTTGACACAACGCTGCATTCGAATACGCACGTGTTTTTATATAATATACGTGTTGAAATTCCCCCCACTGAAGGGAGATGGTTGGGATTAAGGCTTACTGTAAAGAACTCTGCTTCTATTTATACTATTTTAGATGCGGTTTTTTGCGTTTTAATAGGGTACGTCAACAGAATGTACACTAAGAAGAAATTTTTCGAAAAATTTCCCCCCCCACGGGGAAGTGTTATAAATTTATAATAGATACATTTTGAGCCACAACAACGCGTGGCGGGGTCTGCTAGTATTTTATAAAAATAATGCAATTTAATTATGCAGTTTTTTATCTTGAATACATTTAATAAGTGTAATTATATTTATTTAATCTAATAATTACAATTATTTGAAAAGTAGTTTTAATCACAATATATTTTATACGTATTTTAATTTATTTACTTTTAATTGTCAAGATAAACTTTTTTCAATAAAAGAAAGTTTTATTGTTAAGTTTGTTTTCTAGTAGAAACATGATTATCAGTAAAGCAGTTGGCAATGATTAGGTGTTTAAACATTCAAGTTTCAAAATATGGCAATGTGCAATTAAACTAATATGATAATTAAACTACTAATATTTATATGCACAAGTATAATAGAAGAATGAGTCATTTATTACAATTATTCTGTTATTTAGAAGATAAATACTGTGTTTTATTTTCTAAGATGAATATTTTTAAGATAAATATTTTATTTTCTTGTATTTTTGCATTTCATTTTATATTCAAAGTAGACAGTTTAATTGAAATAATTATTATAAGCCAATAGGAAAGTATTCTTTTTTTATCAGAATAATGATTAGCCACATTTCACTGTAGTGATATAACAAAATTTAGTGAATTTAATTGAGAATTCTGATTATCTTCTATGTTCTACATATATGGTACTTTTGATTGTCATCTATTCATAATTATTTAAATGAGATGAAAACAATGATATATTTCTATCTGACAGATTCAAATTTGCATTTAAACTATCGATTATAATCAATTTTTAATAAAAATTTTCTTTTTGAGTGGATGAAAAGCTTTTTAATTAGAAGGTGTATAAAAATAAGATATCATAATATAGATTAAATACAATAGTGTCAGTTTTGTCTTCATATTATAGATCTTCAGATTTCAAACAGTAATTACTGATTTAAAAAAATAAAATTGTCCTAAGGCAAAAATTACAGTGGGTGATCAGTTAACGAACATAATCCGTTACAAGACTTTGTTCACTATCTGAATTGTTTGTTAACCGTTATCGATTTACCATAGGTTTTTATGGGAATTTGATTAATTTGTTCTGGAGTCCCAAAAAATAAAAAATATATACTTTCTTACTACGTTTACTTATATGTAATAATAGAAATACATGTATACACACAGTCTTGCATTTTTATTAGTCATGTTTTTTCCATTTATGGTGGGGTTTAACTCCCACCATAAACGGAAAAAATCTGTCTAATGTTGATTGCTTTTCTCTCTTCTTCAGGATATTTTACAAGTAATTAATAGCATTGTAATTCTAGAGATTCCTAAGCCTATTAACCTCAACCAGGTTTGAATGCCATTCTAAGACTGTTGTTTATCCTCTCACTTCTTCAAAAGATCTTTAATAGCAGATATCAGCATTAATCTTCTTTTTCGTAAGAAAACATATCTTGCTGGGTTTCTTGGTGTTCTTCATTTGAGAGTCCTTGGCATTCTTCTGTCATCAGATTAATTTCAGGTTCCATTATGAGCTCTTTAATGTTCTTTATTTCTCAGACATCGTTTTTGTTACTTCTTAAGCTGTTTGGATCTTCGAAATATATAATAATTGCTACAATATATTTTTAAATTAAATTATTATTAAGTTTAAAATTTGATAATTATTAACAGATTATTGTCATTGTTTTTAGATATATGAAGGACGACGATGTTGTGTTTCTTCCCATTCTGTTCATAACTCTGAACAAAGCTGTTATGCTCAGAATAAAGTGGATATTGGTGTTCATTTTTATGATGTATTAAAAACAGCAAGAAGTGAACCTGAATTAGTAATTTTGTTTGGTTCAAACAAAATATTTAAAAAACCAGAAAATTATTTTAGTAACTTTACAAGCTATACAAATTCTGAGCCAATATGTAGAAAAAGAAAACGTAAAAGTAAAAGTGCTGAAGAATCCTATATTGTATCAGATAGAAATCATTACAATGATTCATGTAAGTAAGATTATTTAAGTATAAATTATTTTTAAAATTTTTGTTTATTGTTGTTTAATGAGGAGCAATCTTACATTTTATTATGACTATACTTTATAATCTGTCATTTAGTGATCTCCATTAAAATTTGACAGACATTAAAAATATTTATATTTTTCAAACTTTTATTGGATTAAACATAAATATTTATACCTGAAGTAAATCTGTGATATGATGAACGATGTATGATTCAAATTTTCAATATTATTGATTTCTTTAAACTATTTAATGTTTAAATTTTATATTATAAAAAAAAGTTTTTAAAAATTTACCACTTTTATTTAATGTTTGCTCATTTAGTGATCTCATTTGCATTGTAAGAAAATAATTAGAACTACTGCCATTAATGATTTTACTAATATTTTTTTTAAAGCAAATGTTCAAAATGATTATACTTATTCATGCATATTTACAGGAAAGATTCACTGATCTACACAAACATCTTGAATTTATTTTTATTTTTGTTACCTACATATTTCAATGTAATAACTCTTCTTCAGATGTCATTTAATTTGCACTTATGTTTAAAATGGTTTGATGTGTCATTTTAATTTCATTTTCAAACCAGTCACATTTAATCCCATGTAATGCTGACCTTAATTTATTACTTTCCTGGCTGCTGTATACAACAGGGAAAATATGGCAATCAATTCAAAAAATGGCCCTTCTGAGATTTTTACATTTTTTGGTCTCAGGTGTTTGAAACATTGAGAAATGTAAAAAAAAAAAAGTCGAGGATTCTGTATGTATCGTTGTCGATGGGTTTCAGGATGCCAATTTTGTACACCTACTTTAAAAGTTAATAACTCCTATACCTTTTCTCAAAAATTTCTGAAATTTTGCAGGAGGTTTGTGTATTAGGGGATTGATGCCTATTAAATTTTGGTGATTAAAAGTTAAGGGTTGGATAGATAGAGATGGGTCATATGTCATATCTCAAGTGGGGTTAGACTTAATGACGAGTTTACTCATTATTAGCATTTACAATTTTTTTATAAAGCCCATCCCTATGCTCAAAATTAAGTTTTTTCCATTTTATAATAATTAAAAATATAATTTTTTAAAATAAAATATCATATCACAACAGATGGCACCAACAAAATTTTAAATGATGTCAGGAAAGTTAAGCAACATATTGATGGATTTTTTTAAATTTTTATCTAATGTAAAATATGTGAACATTGATTCATTTTTTAAACCAGTTTAATGATATTATCTTCAAGATCAGAAAATATTTGATATTATTATAAAAATGTACTTAACTAGTAGTCATTCAGAAAAACATGTTAAAAAGTTCAAGTATGGCACTCGGTATCATGTGATATATAATCTGGTAGTTGTTGGTGTATTATGTATGTTCAATACATTGGGTTTGTAGATGTTGGTATATATATATATATATGTACCATGCTGGAATTGTGCTGAGTGTTTACAGGACTTGGACACTGAATGCAGCACCAGTCAGCACATATGTAACCGATGATGGTTATCTCTTTAAAATATCTCTGGAAGAGATCAGACTGGAGGCTTGGGTAGCATAACTGACAACACATTTGCATGGTAAGCGGCAGTTGCATATTCAAGTCCTGCTCTGGGCTAATTCTTTTCTTCCAGAATTAGAAAATTCTTATTTATTTTATTATTATTTAATTTAATTATAATTATAAAATCTAATAAGAGATGGTGCATAATGCCTTCCTTCAGTAACAAATTATTTAGTATTTAATTTAAAATAATTACAATATAATAGCCCAATATAATCCAGTAGTAGTTGGTGTATTACATATGTACTGTACAGTGTATCTGGTGTGTACATGTTGGTTTTTGATTCAAACAGCTATAAACATGAAAGTAATTACAAAAGTATTTAATAAATATATAACTTTCTCAAAATATGTGCAAGTTAGGATGAACTTTTAAATCAAAATATGTTGTATTTGAAATTCTTGATTAAATCTTTGAAGCAAGAGAAAAATATTTGTGACACTTTGCTGGAATGCAATATTAAACTTGTAGTTTAGTAAAATGTAGATCATGTGTCTTAGATGAAACACTGATTCTGATTGGCTATATGTGACATTTTTTAATGCTTATTTTTTTATATAGATATACAGAATCTTGACTCTGGAACTTGATATTCTGTAAAACTTGTCTTATTGTTCAAAAAGAAAAAATACATGTAACCTAATTTCTACCTCTATAACTTAACACTAGATCAAATAAGGTCCATCATTCTTCATTTTGATAATAGCACCAATTCCATGCATTAACAAAGAATATAATCCTTTTTCCAAGGTGTCACTGCAAAACACCACAACACAAATGTCATTAACTGAAAAGTAGCCACTGAGTAGCCATTATTTTTTTAAATTAAAATTTAACTACAGATAGAAATAGTCACTATTGTTATATATGTGCAAATTCATAAAAACACATGCATATTCAAATGGAACATTGTATCAAAATTTCAAAGGAATCGGTAGGAACAAATGAACATTACATTTTTATTTATATAGATAGATAGATGATGATCTGCTTTAGTTCATCCTCACAGAAAAGCATAATGCCTCACAGAAAAGCAAACTTAGGTCGTCGTACTCGTGGAGTTAGCGCCATCTTGGACATAAAAGCCTTAATCCTAGATTATATCTTTTAATTTATATGAATGTTTAATGACCTATGCCCACCCAGAAGGTCAATTCTAAATATTGGTGAAAGAATTTTTGAAATCGGATGAATAGTTTTGGAGATTACCTCCTACATCCAAACTTACAAACTTTACCTCTTTATAATATCAGTATAGATTAATTTTATTTTTATACAGAATATTATAGTAATGTGATTATTATTTGCTGTAAGCAAACTTTATTTTAATTTTTACACTGCAAATTTAAAAGAAATTTGGATAATTTCACTTTAGATCATATCTATTGTTGAAGGGATTATTTTGCTTTTTAATAATTAAGAAATACTTGTTGTTTAACTAATTATTACATAATTGGAACATCAGATAAAGGTTTGATTCATATTTTTGTTTTGTTTTGAAAATACCAATTTTATGCAGTCCATTTTTTAATAAAGTTTGAGATGAAAAGCAATGCAAACTTTTATTACAATTTTGTGAGAAACTACACAGTTTTTTTTTTTAATTTTTAATAATTTTAAGTTACAAAAGTAATATTTCTACTTTTAATATACAATGAAAAAAAGAAATGAATTGCAAATATTCATATTATTGTTAATTTTTTCTATCTCAAAAGTTTTAGGCAAGATCAGTAATAATAATCATAATCTTAATTATTGTTATATATGTAATTCTTAATTTTTTCAATGAACAATTAATGAGCAATTTTTAAAATTATTTAAAAGTTTTTAAAATTACTAGGAATCAATAAAATCACAGTAATGATATACAAAATTTAAAAAAAAAATATTTTTTGACATTTATATCTGTTCACCATTCACTTTTAATTGATTTGTAATCATCAATGTTTAAATTGAATTTAATACAGTAATGCCTCCATTTGTATGAATTCACTATTGTGGTAAAATTTTTAAATTTTAACCTTCTGGAAGGTATGAGATCAACTGTCTTAGTGATGGTGCACATAAATGATATTTTGACACTAGGAGCATCATCCACAAGTACATGTATGCAAATGGAACAATGTACATTTGACAAGTTGCTGAAGTGATGATGATTCCTTTGCTTCCATGTACAGTACTGTACTTATGGTTGCCATATCATATTGATGTCACATTTTTGCATCTAAATATTTTGTGTGCCTAGCATTTAGTTCACATGATGTCTCTCAAATACCATTGTTTATTTACAAATTGTGAAATCATCAGCATCACATCAGAAACTACAATTATCTTTTAATCCTGTATTATGTCTTCTTTCTAAAAATGTAAAGTACAGTACATGTGGATTGAGAAAAATGTTTTATGTTTATTTTTTGTACAGTAAGACTGTGCTTAATGCTGCCTCGCTTAATGCTGATTTGATATAACACCGTCTGCTTGAAGCCTAAAAAAAAAGCTCAAAATTTACACTGATTTAAATTATCGTGGCATTTTATTGATTTGCACATAATATGATTATTGATGAACACTAACCAATTAGAAAAAGGTGGAAAAAAATCTATGTATGTTTCTTTAAATCTATGTATGTTTGGTGTAATTTTGAAAAAAATATAACATCATGGATGCCATAGGCAATATCAGCTTCGCTTGGGAAGAATTAACTGATAAATGCATGGAGGAAGTGTGGAAGAAGTTATGGCTGAAGGTATCCAAGAATTCTCAACAAGAAGAGCCTATCACTATATCGTTAGGTTGATCAAACTCAACCTAATTGATACAGTAGGACTAGGAGATGTAGACAAACAGGATATGGAGGAGTTACCGCAGGATTTTGGTGAGAGTCTTATCAACGATGATCTTCAAGAACTGGCAGAACAGGGAATCCATGTAGAACTATAAAATAGTGATTCTGAAAATGAAGAACCCAAAAAATTTCTCTACAGATTTCCTTAGTAAAAGTTTGGTAACAATAATTGAAATCGTTGATCAAATTGTAGTGAATGATCTAAATTTTGAAATGAGTGCAAAAGCAAGACGAGGTGTTTTGGATGCAACTTCTGCTACCGACATTTGCTTAAGGAAAGAAAAAAGTGACAATGAAACTTCATTACTTGCAAAAAAAAAACAAGAATTTCAGAAAAGTCAAGACCTTCATCACAAAAAATGAACTATTAATATAGAAAAAATGAAGTAATTAATATATTATTATACATTTCTGTGTGCATATTTTATGTGTTATTTAACATATATTATTATACAAATTAATATAAAAATAACTTAAAATTAAAGTAAATTTTTTTGTATTTTTTGGTTGTGTGTTTCCCTACCTCTATTTATTCTGTTAAAATGACCTCATTTAATGCTGTTTCGTTTAGCGCTTTGTTGTCTAGGAACGCACTTAATCCCCCGCGTTAAGTGGTGTCTCACTATAATTTGATCTGAAGAATCAAAAAAATAAACATAACAACATGAAAATAAATGTATCAAATTTTGCTTTGCTGTAAATTATCTCTGTTTTCATGGATTATTTGTAATTGGAGAGGGATATGTTCTCTTTCAATGTCAGGGTATGAATAGTTGATTTACAGTACTACTGTATCTCCATTTATATGTATTTTTGTGAAACCAATTAATTGCATAAATTGAGGGATTACTGTATACCCAATAAATAGACAGTTAATTGGTTAACTTAAATTTCAAATAATTTATATTTAAAATTATTATTTTAGAATTAATTAATATAATTATGTGATAAGTAAACTTTTCCATTGTGCAATTGGATTGCTTCAAGCAATTATATATCAGAAAAATAGTTTCTATTAAACTTTTTGGTAACAATGTTTACAATAACTAGTCAAGCAAATTTTATAAAATTATTAATTTAATATTTAATTCATTATGGAATCAGTGAAATTTTGGAATAATGAATCATACAAACATATTTAACGGAAAGTTGACTGTTTAAGAAGTATAATTAATAAAACGTTATAAAAATCAAGGTGTTTAAAAAAATTCTAAATATAAGTTGTGTAAAGAAATCTGAAGATGTTATTTAAAATTTTAATTAGTTAAAGTAATAAAAATCTTTTAATTTCATATTAAAGATTGAGTTTAACTAGATATTATTTTATTGAATTTTATGGATTAGTTTCAAAATTTTGTGTATTTATTTTTAAAAATTTTAATATGTTATTGTATTAAACTATTCTTATTAATTAAATACATTATAAAACAATTATAAAATTTTTATTACATAATTTTCTAATGAAAATAAATAACTTTCAGTGACAGATTTTCTAGAATCCAATCTACCAAGATCTTGTAGGATTGTGAGTTGTGCAGGATTAGGAATAGTAGGAACTCCTATATATAATGTAACACCAATTGAAGCAGAATTTGCACCTGGTTTATCTGCTCTCTTTTTGCCCATGTTGCCTGGAATAGAAATATATCAGTTTAGTATATCGAAAAGCCACGAGAAAGCTTTGAGAAAAAATGACAATGTCAATTCATTTGTGTATGAATTAATGGGTATACCAAAGGACAAACATTTAGGTTGTTTGCTCATATTTTTTCAACATAATCCAGATAACCTATTAACAGCTAAAACAATAATAGAACACTATTTGACAAAACAAGATAATCAGTTGGCAATAGGTGGAGCCGTAGTTGATAAAATAGCTGCACCAACTAAGAATGGAGAAGAAGCATATAAATTGTTTACTGGATTAGCATTTGCAGGAGACAATATTCAAACTGCTTCGATAATTTTAGACAAAGACATAAACACAGAAGAAAAAGTTTTAGCTAAACTTACAAAATTAAAAAATTGTAACATACCAGAAAATAATTGTATTGCTTTCATGTTTGCATGTTGTGGAAGAGGATGTGGTCTTTACAATAAATCTAATGTTGAAGCTGAAGCATTTCATAAAATTTTTCCAAATGTTCCTCTTTTTGGATTATTTGGGAGAGGAGAAATTGGAAATGAATATTTACCACAGAATGGAAAGAAAGTTCATTCAAATTTTGACAAAGATGATAATTGGTATCATGGCTACACAACTATATTTGTCCTTATCTCTCTACAAACATTAGTATCTTAATATTTTACCAATATTAGAAACAATAAACAGTATATATGTATAATGTATGCTATGTAATAAAGTTTCCTATGTTAAAAACATATATTTTTATAATTTAAGAGAATCTTTTATTGTAAACATTATTCTTACTGTATTTAATTTTTCAGTGTATATTAAAAATATATGAAATGTAGAATAGAACTGAGGTAATTATGATTTTTGACTCTGCAGTTCATTTTTGTTAAACACATGTGACAGTAGACCAAAATATCAAAGTTTTAAACGAAGATCAAGTAATAAATGTTACAATGATAATTTTATACATTCATTTATTAATTTGAACAATGATAGCAATTTAATCATGATGAGTGAATGTATGTAACCAAATACAGTCAAACCTCACTTTAAGAATTTAGCATAGAAAATATAGGAAGTTGATCATCGGTAGTCAGCTCTGTCAACTTGTTCAGAAACTGAGTTATGATATGGCAACTGGAGCAAATATGGCATTCAAAATTTTGTTCATAAATGGGTGTTTGTAACCAGAGGTTTGACTGTACTATAATACTAAAGTTATCTTTTGGGTAAAATTAGTATATTTACAATCAAGTACAATATGTTCTGTTTCATTTGGAAGCTGAAGCAATTATAACAAGTTTCAAATACTGTCAATCTGTTGGGTTTATCAGGTCTATCAAACGTTACTTTTCTGATCAACTTACTTTTAGAACAATTTGGTTCACAAATAGAATTTTGAACTCATAATTGCTCCAGTTGCCGTATGATAACTTGGTTGCCAAACAAGCTACTTGGCAAGAACCAGCCCTAGATTAGAGAGAGATGGACAACTCCCTATAATTCCTATGTTAAAGAAAGTCGAAGGTCCAACCAATCAACAACAGAAATACTGATTTATAAGTTAGTGGCACCAAGATTTCCTTGTGTCATTAGGAGTCATGATACAAATCGTGATGTCTAATGACTCAAGCGTAAATTAAATAGCAATGTGACATCAATGACATTGCTATTTAAATTAGATTTCAATGCATATGTGGGAAAGATACTATTACTTTTTTCAGTATGTGCCGAAGTTGAATTTAAATCAAATTAATTAATAAAATCCATGTTAATTGACATTCATGTAATGTAAATAGCATCCTATAATTCATGTTTATGCTTAAGTTAAATTAAATAACAAAAATTTATTAATATAATTGGGCTACAATTTGAAAAATTTGTAGACCTATAAATAAATTCCCACTGTTGTCCATCCATTCACTTGTTTGTCTGTTTTTCCTTAATCTCGAGAATGGAGTTAGATAGATGAAAGCCGATACCAGATATGGAAAGCTTAGGGGTAGAAAGCTTCAATTAACTTCTGGTGCAAAGTGAAAATCAATACAGACAAGACACAACTTGCATTTTGCATTGAACTTTTCTTGTTATCCTTGCAAAGACAAGAAACTCAAATATTATATCTAAATAATATTTTTTGCATAAAGAATCCCTAGTTTCAAAAATATTGCAGGCAATATTAAAATCTATACTACAACAAGTTGTAAAAATGTTAACTTATATCAAGTCAAGATAACTTAAGATGCTTTTTTAAAAATTTGAATATCTATGGAAGCTCAGTATAAATCTTTGCTTTTGCACACTGAAGTAAGATTATTATTCATGGCCAAGTGCTGTGTCCATTTTTAGTACTTAAGAATGAGTTATTGGCCTTTTCTAAAATGAAGATACAAATGTTTTTATAAAATGTTTTAAAAATGATATTTGGTTTGTTAAATTGACATACTTAGCCAATATTTTCAATTACTTGAATAGCTTAATACAAATATCCAAGGAACACATGAAAATATTTTGACATCCACTGATAAACATTGTCATTTCAGAAAAAGTATCACTGAAAAATTGAATATCATAAAAAATATAAACTTCATAAAAATGCTGAGAGAATTATTTCCACTATAACTGGGTATTTAATACTGTGTAAAGAAAAGATTGCAAGTTACTTTCCTTCCTTAAATATAGAAAATTATGACTTAATACGAAATCTGTTCGGTGCAGTTAATACGTTGAGTTGTGAATTCTCTATGCAAGAAAACTTGTCAACGGATGGTACATTAAAAATGAAAAAATCTGAAATAACTCTTGAGGAATTTTGGATTTTTGTCTAATCTGAATAACCAGCTCTCAACATGAGACACTAAAAATTTTGTTACAGTTTTCAACATATTTGTGAGAGCTTGGATTTCACATTAACCAACTTAAAAAAACTCAAAAAACAAGAGACTAATATAGATGAAGTGAGGGTAGTTATATCATATAGTAGACCTGATATTGATGAAATCTGCAAAACTGACAAGCTCATATATTGCATTACAATTGACTTAAAGAAGATCCATTTTATAAAAGTTTTATTATTTTAGTTAGTTTTTACAGATATAATTTTTTAATTATTTTTTAGTTTATGTATTCTGTAATTCATAATTTTTAATAAAAAGATAAGTTCATGCATTATTTTTGTTGTTATTCTATGATCTCAGTGATTTTGCTGTTCTGCAAATTTTTCTGATATTCAAAAATGTTTCATGACTTCAAAAAGGTTAAGAATCACTGAGTTAGATGACTGGTAAGATTCAATTGCTAACAGGAAGAGTAAGATGTACAGGGAGAAGACACTATTAATTTGAAGTGGAGAGCATATATTTTAAATTAAATTAATTAAAAATATGATGAAAAATTGCAGCTGAATGTCACAATAAATATATATTGTGCTTATATTATATATAATATTACATTGCATTTATAGGCATTTTTATGCATTCAATACAGCTAAAAAGGTAAAAAAAAGGACTTTATTTTGTGGGTCAGCAATGGAATAATGCATTCTATATTGTTTATGGAAAAAATTTGTTTTGCTTTTAGAACAGATCAGTTTTTGAACAACTTTTAGGAACAAATTATGATGTGGCTGTATTTTCATAGAATAAAAGTTCTTCTATGAAAGAACATTCCTGAATATAGTTGATTTTGAAGATTAACTGTAAATGCATTAATTCCCATTGTTGTGAATTTTATTTATGGACTACAAAAACTTTCATAAGTTTCATGTAGCTTGTAAGCTTTCAGTTTACCCATAAACATCATTGGCGTGCCGTGACATTTGATGATAGGAAAGCTGTTTCTGTAAGAAGCCGACTTCTAGGGGCAATCAGTTAATAGTGCGTCAGTGATGGTATAGGGTCCATCTGTATCGTTTGTTCGATAAGCCAGTAAAATCCATAGACATCTCTAAATGTATTTTAAATATCACTATTACATTCTGAATCGCAAGCCACAATATAAGAGCTAAAATTAAAAATAAAATGTGAAATAAAATGTGTGCTGGATGTACCGGTACATACCTGGTACAAAATATTCTTCAATTGCATGAATATACTTTTAAAGAAAATTATAATTAAATATAGCTTTGTAAAGACACGTACATAAAATATTCTTTAGTTTTTAAATCTTAAAACAATCCACTTACTTGTTAGTCAAATAGCTCCCTGCAGTGGCTATGGATGGAATCGGAGACGGTCCTGGTAGGTGCATGCACGCAGGCTGCCAAATTCCGAGGATGCCGATACTGGTCAATGTCAAATGCCTCTTTTGTCGCATCCTAGTATACATCAAAGGACGCGACAGGTTGTAAATTTTAAACGTTTCTCGCCACAGCTGTAAAAATCAAAATATGTTAAACTTAATACTAATATTACGAAGAAATAAGTCCCCACTGTACTCTGTTAGATTGGTCCGGTTAACCACCAAATTTTCATAGCATCAATGCCTCTCATACACAAGCTACCCTATCAAATTTTATTTCTTAATCATTACCTCATCCTGAGATATTAACTCTTAGACATCCTATTGTCTTCTTGTTATATAGCTTGTGGATAAGAGGCATTCATTTTATTAAAATTTGGTGGTTTTGAGTCGCTACCAAAGAAGCGAACAAAAGCTTCCTTGGTAGCGACTCAAATTGACAAATCTTGTGAAGTAACGACTCGAACGAAATTTTGCTAATAAAATAGCGTGTTGTGACAGAGTATCAACGATTACCTCAACAGTGAGAAAACGACGTTTCTAAATGGACTGTTGAGTTGTCCGTTGAAGCCCGTGACGTCATTGTTGGTTCACCGTTGAGCCGAACGGTCTCAACATGAAAGACGGTTGAATTTTCAACAAACTAGCATGGCGGCTTCCACGAAACAAGTAAATTTCGCTTATAGAAACTATCGATTTCAGCGGACGGATTAACGAACGATCTGTATATGATAAAACAGTGATTGAACGATAATTTGGTCAATATTGAAATATTAAGCTTTTTTTCAGAAACAAACTACCTCCATGAATTTGTCCAAAGTTGATAAGGACCGATATTTGGCCCTCTTCATCTTCCTAATGATATAAATTCTCAAGCAATTCAAATTATTGAAGAAAGACCTAGTATAAAAGGAATTTATACAGATAATTGTTAATTCGAATAAACCCTGGCCCACCAGTGGCCAAGCGGTCTTAGTACCCTGAATACTGGGAGTTCAGTCGTGGATTCGCGCTGCGCTCGGACGGTATGGCCACGTGGTTTTCTCCACGTGTGTAACGTCTAAATAAAAGACCTCCCGGAAGGCATCCCTTCCTAGGCAGATCGCCCAAGTGTTGTGTTGCCATAACTTAACAAACATCGAATAAACCCTAAATAATGGTTATGCTAGTTACTTTATTTATTTAGCAAAACAGCCACAATCGTTATCCGATCCTTTACTAAGTCGGCCATCATGAAAAGCGTCCTTTCAAAGCAAACGTTTCTTTTTTTCTACAAAACCTGACGATAAAAACGGAAACGGAAAAACTCACCGGTGATGTAAGTCTTGAATTTAAAAACGTACGGTATATACTATATCCTAGCTCGTTGTGTATGACCAACTCTTATTACAGGCTCTCTAATCGCTGGCTGATATCAACTTGAATCACGGTTGTGTAGACACTGATTCATTATTAGGTTATACCGACTATTATTAGCATGACTTTTTTTCTTTTAAACTGATAGCATCCTAATGAGGATATGTCTATTTATTGCTTGCAGGCTATATAATAACGTTTTTAACATTAGAAAAGCGATTATCTCTCTTTCTGAAACAAAAAGAAAGGCATATCTGTATAGCAAAGTTAAAATTTTTATTTCATTTAATGATTAAACTATACAAACGTCCGATGCGAAGCGGAAATTACGTTATTTCAATTCAAAACTTCTCCCTGAAAGCAATTAATAGATGACCAGCACGACTCTGTTGTTAAAGGAAAAGCATATGATGTACAGGGGCAAGCCATTACCAATAATTTGACGTGGAGAGCATATACTGTATTTTAAATTACGAAAATTAAAAATATGATTAAAATTGCATCCAGGTATTGTGACGATGTCACAATAAATAATTGCTAGTTCTCTAGTTTACTCGTTACTAGCATTTGTAATTTTTTTATACCCTTTTACAACTGCCAAGAATTAACGCGATTGGCAAAGCGTAGTGACAGCGAACCAATAGAGAGCGAAATCCTTGCCATAATGCGGTTTGCGCCCCAATTACGTGCGTTAATCAAGCCGAATAATTTGGCCGAATATTCGGCTATTCGGCCACGCTCTTGGCCGAATATTCGGTATTCGGCCTCAGGCCGAATATACTATTCGTTACAACACTACTTTTGATATTAAAATCTGAATTTTAATTGTTATAACAAAATCATTTACTTGTATCCAAATATTTTTTTTTACTAATTATACATATATTATACACATACACACACAGTGGAACCTGCCAATGTGACCTTGTCGGTGACACGACCACCTTTCTATAGTGACCAGCTAGGCCTGAAATTTACTCGGATTTCATGAA